CTACTAAATTGATTCCTATGGCTTTCCAAATGTTGGGAAAGGAATCAGCCAGGCTGTTATCAGCACCAGGAAAGCATTTCACGTGAAGGGTAGTAGATCCAACAGCTATTCTCTGATTAAATAAAAGGAAACCTTCATGTTTAAACATATTGCAAAGAAGATGGAAATAGAATGAAGGTGACTCCTTTACTGTAATCTCTTGGTATTCTACATGTGATCCAGTAGCATAGATGCAAATCACTAATCCTTGTCATTGTTTCGTGGCCACCTCACAAAATGGCACTATCCAGCAAAATATTATTTAGTAGCAAAATATATTTTAATTGAAACATCATTTTCAGTAACTGAATAAAAATGTGTACCAGGTACTTTCCCAATAGACAGCAGAGTATGTACATTTTGTGAGTGGAGCAGCATCTATTTAATATATTTTTATATAGAAAATACAGGCATTTTTAAAAATGGAAACATGTAAGAAAGTACGTCACAAGAAGGAACAAAATATAACACAAAATAAAAAGGTAAACCCCAAATAACATGTGTACTACACAAAACGAGACCCAGCACCGTGTTGGAATTTCTTTGCGTAAGTTCTGGGATACCCAGGGCTACCAGGAAGAGATGACCCTGTTCTTAGGGAGAGCGCCTTGGTTGTGCAGTGGTTAAAACCCAGTCCTCCTTTTCCTGCAACAAAAAAAAACAACAGAGAGATTCAACAGAAAAGACTGAACTGAAGAGGTAATAGCCCCTTTGGGGTCAATTTGAACAGGATTGAAAGTCTCAGATACCTGGGCATTATCCATGGCGCTGTTTGTATCGATGGGAGTCATTCCTTGAGACAACTAAAGGGCATGAAGATCATGTGCTAACTCATGAAAAAATCTGAGAATCGGCAGACCCGGGTTTTAGCCTTGGCTTTGTCTCTAGTTTCCTGTCTGATAATCCTCTCATCTGTAAACTGAGGGGTTTGGACTTCGTGAAAGGTCTCTTATAGCTTTCAGAGTCTATAATTTTTATTTGTGGTATTTGTTTAGGATCAATTTTATGAAGAAGCATACAGAGATTGGGGAAACACAATCTCCTTTTTAAGGATTGAACTACCTGGGAACCATACCAGGTGAGTCTTATTCATTGGTAGAGAAGGCAAATGGTTGAGGTATTTAATTAATGCTACAGGGCATTTCTTCGCTGGCTGTCACAGATGCCCAGAAATCGCTCCATCTGTCAACAAACATTTGTTGAGCATTAATTTTTGTGCCTGTGCTAAGCACGAGGGATACAATCTTTTGCCTACTCAATCTCATGGGAGAGAAGAAAATAAAAAAATGATTTGTAAACATTTAATGTTCTAATTTCTCAGAAAAGCTTCCTCCCCTTCCCATTTCAGGGACATATATTCCGCCGTCTTTCCTCTGGGAACTGCCAGCCTCCTCTCCCCTTTACCCAAAGGTAAGGTAAAAGTTTTGACAAGAAGACTCTTCATGCTAGTACGACATAGCCCGACCTAGGACCACAGTTGACTGACTGATTCACGGTTGGCCCCTGAATCCACCTGGACTAGGCAGTTCTGGATTTTTAAACTGGGTCAGTGGATACAGTAGTATGACGTGTAAATGCAGGGGCTGCAAGCAGTTCTGTCCTTTCATGGGAACTGAACAGCAGAGAAAACCACTCTGCAGCGAGAGGAGGGAGGGAGTAGATGCTGGAGAGAGAAGGCGAGGCAGGAGGTGGAGAAGCTTCAGATGGCTTTCAAGTCCTCAGTCGGATCCTCCTGAGGTTCAGCCATCCATGCAATCGGGTTCCACACAAGGCCCCTCAATGGTGATAACAAATTCCTTTCTCTGCTTAAGCTAGTTAGAGTTGCAACGAGAGAGTCCTAACTAATATGGATGTTCTAGAAAAATGGCTCACAGTATAATGGGGGGGGGGGGGACTGTCCAGTCCTTGAATGTGGGATACACTTCCCAGCTTAATTTGCCATGTATTTTTTGATTCCTTTATCAAACGCTTGCACAAAAATGTAATTTTGTTCTCTTTATTAGACAGTATTTTCACATAGGCTAAAAACCGCCCTTCCCCTTGTCAAAAAAGACTCCTTTGGGAGTATTTTGATGTTAGGAAACCACATAAACGCAGGCTTCCTTTTCTTATTTGAAAGAATTGAAATAGTCTAAAATTATAAGAATGTTATAAATAGTTCCTGTTCCTTTTTGAGTCACTGTAATTCTTATTCCTTTTATTTTCTCTCTCCTCTTACTTTCCCAGAAATCGATTTCAGTTTGACTCTCATTTTTTTGTATCATTCAACTCTACTCTCAATGAAAGTATCATCTTTATCTTGGAAGCTTCTATATAGACTTGTACAGTCCAAGCTTGCTCTTTAGGGTTCAGTTTATTTTTTCTCTCTGCAGAGATGGCATATGCTTGAGATGATATGAGGACATTCATTGGCACAAGATGGATTTTTTTGTTAATTAAGTTTTTATTTAAATAGATTATTGTCCTTGAAAGTTGACTTTGACATTCCAATCAAAATAAAATAAAAGGAAATGAAAAAGAAGAGTTGTTTTCAATTAACTAAATTTCCCATTTTTAAAAATGAATATGTTCTTTGTTTTCAATGACTCCTATAAGATTGAAGTAATTGTACCTTATACAAATCTAAATGATGTAATGCAATAGTGCATTTTGAAAGTCAGAAAATAGAGCTGGCACTACTCCAACATTGCAACATTTTTATATTGAAAATATCCATGGTATGATGACAATTTAGTTCATATTTCCTGAGGTTTAAAACAGTTAAGAAAGAACAACGCTGGAAGCATTATGTTTCTGATTTCAAATGATATTACAAAGCTATAGTAATCAAAACAGTATAGCATTGCCATAGAAGCAGACACATAGATCAATGCACAGAAGAGAGAACCCAGAAATAAACCCAGGCACACACAGTCAATTAACTAATGACAAAGGAGCCAGAATCTACGATGGGGAAAGGACAGTCTCTTCAATAAATGCTATTGGGAAAACTGGATGGCATGCATAAAGGAATGAAACTATGTTATATCATACAAAAAATTAACTCAAAATAAATTAAAGAAAACATGGGCAGTAAGCTCCTTGACATTGATCTTGGCAATGATTTTTTGGATTTGATACCAAAAGCAAAGGCAACCCAAGACAAATCAACGAGTGGTACTACATCAAACTAAAAAGTTTATGCACAGCAAAGGAAACTATAAAAAAAAAAAAAAGAAAAGGCCACCTACTGAGTGGGAGAAAATGTTTGCAAATCATGTATCTGATAAAGAGTTAATTTCCAAAATATATAAAGAACTCATACAACTCAACAACCAAAAATCAAACAATCCAATTAAAAAAGGGGCAGAGGATCTGAATAGACATGTTTCCCCAAGAGGACATACAGATGGCCAATACACATGAAAAGATGCTCAAATTACTAATCATTAGAGAAATGTAAATTAAAACCACAATAAGGTATCACCTCACACATGTTAGAATGGCTATTATAAAAAAGACAAAAATAACAAGTGGAGAAAAGGGAACCTTGTGCATTGTTGGTGGGAATGTAAATTGGTGTAGCTACTATGAAAAACAGTAGAGAGAGTCCTCAAAAAAATAAAAATAGAACTACCATAAAATCTAGTAATTCCACTTCTGGAATATTATTCAGCCATAAAAAAGAAGAAAATATTGCCATTTTCAACAACAATGATGGATCTTGAGGGCATTATGCTATCTGAAATAAGTCAGAAAAAAACAAATACTGTATCACCTCACTTAAGTGTGGAATCTAAAACAAACCAAAAAAATCAAAACCAAACTCATATACAGAAAACAGATTAGTGGCTGCAAGAGGCGGACTGAAGGAGTGGAAGGTTGGTGAATGGAATAAGAAATCAAAAGGAACAAACATTCTGTTGTAAAATAAATAAGTTATGGGGATGTAATGTACAGCATGGCAACTATAGTTAATAATATTGTATTGTGCCGAAACCGGTTTGGCTCAGTGGATAGAGTGTCGGCCTGTGGACTGAAAGGTCCCGCAATACAATATTATTTTTTTAAATATATTTTATTGATTTTTTACAGAGAGAAAGGGAGAGAGATAGAGAGTTAGAAACATCGATGAGAGAGGAACATCGATCAGCTGCCTCCTGCACATCTCCCATTGGGGATGTGCCCGCAACCCAGGTACATGCCCTTGACCGGAATCGAACCTGGGACCTTTCAGTCTGCAGGCCGATGCTCCATCCACTGAGCCAAACCGGTTTCGGCGACAATAAATCTTTTTATCTTAACAGTTCTCATGAAACAAAAAAACCCATTTTGTAACTATGCATGGTGATAGATGTTAACTAGATTTATTGTCGGGATCATTTCACAATATATATACAGATATCAAATCATTATGTTGTACACTTGAAATAATGTAATGTTGTATGTATGCCAATCAACAATTTTTTTAGAAACCTTATTTTTTAAACGATTTCCCCTTTGACTTATTTTTGATCTTTTCTCAATTATATTTATCTAATTAGATATTAGAAACCAATTGACAGAACATATGTTTACATAACATTTTTGTAGCCAATTACATTTATTTTTGTTGTAACCAGGAATGCAAATGCAAGTCAATAAATGTATTGAGTTTATTATTTACTTTACACCCTTAAGTGTAAAAAAATACAATCTTCTATTCAAGAAGAAAGTTGACTTGTTTAACCCTTTTTTTACGGAAAAATATGCAATGCTTCACGAATTTGAGTCATCCTTGTGTAGGGGTCAAGCTAATCTGCCCTGTATTATTCCAATTTTGGTATATGTGTGGCCAAAATGAGTACAAGATTATTTACTTTTGAGGCATCATTGCTTGATTTGTCAATCCTTAGCTAATATTTCTTTGCGTTGGCTTTAGTTCAAATTTAGAGAGTGTATCTCACAATGGATATTTTTGGATATAAAATGCTCACCCTCACACTAGAGATACCTTCTGGCTCTTGAACAACTTAACCTGAATTTTTATCTCTTTATGTTATTGATAAACATTAGTCTTTGGTTGTCTTACCTGGAACAGTCGTGTCCAGTCCAAGCTGAGAGACAATGGCATCGGTTTGGTCTTACGCATTTTCCACCATTTAAGCAGGGAGACTGGCAAACAGCTGGGATTAAAAAAATGCATGCATTTATTGAATCAGCACTTAGCAATCCTGAAGAAGTCCATGAAAGCATGTAAGAAAGATTTGACTCTGTTTTCGTCTCCAGCCACCAACACTCCTCAGACTGTCTGCATTATGCATTTCTGCCCCTTCGCTTGACCTCATGTCCTTCTGTGTCTCCACCTCCCTTTTTCCTTCCAAGTGAGTCATTTTCATATTTAAGTTCCAGGTTAAGTTCTACCTATGTATTTAAATCTTTGCTGATAACTTCAAGTCCACTGTTTTTTTCTCTAATATTTTTGTTTATGTAACTAATTTGGCACATACTGTTTTGAACTGTGAACTTTTCATATGCTCAATTAGACTGTAAATCCCTTGAGGGAGCTAGCACTGAACTCTCTGATTCAGTCATTACATCAGACATCAACTCATGACAAGAAATCAGGCAAGAGCTTGTCTAAAATAACAGATGACTCAAAAGCCCTTGTGTTGGCTAGGAAACATATTTCATGACTTTTACTGGCCTTAATTAGAATGATGGAACCTGGAGTAGAATTAAAAATTAGCCACAGATGAAACCCTGAATGAACACTCAAAGATTTACTATAAAGACATCTTCCTTACAAATTCATAGTCTCATCACCAAACTCTTCACTTGCATGAGTCTATTTGCTAAAGAACCCTAGGATGCTAAAAACTGATAAAGACCCAACACCAGCAGGTTTAACATATCAGAGAGAAAGGAGAACATCCTACAGGGAGGAAATGAAATGATGGACAGCTCATCTTCAGTGAGATATAAATAGATGTTCTTCTTTAATCATTCATGCATACAATATGGGGGGGGGGCATGCAGAATGCCAGCCAGTACCAGGCACTTGGGTGGAAGAGAAAGGACAAGAAATAAAACATTAGTCTATGTCCTTGGGGAGCCGTCTTGGTGAGTGAAGAGCAAGAGTAGGCCAACAGAATGCACATCTGTGCAATACAGTAAAAGGAAAGTATGAAACAAAGCAGGCTTAAAAATAGTAAAAATGAAGCCCAATAATTTACAACCAACTCTCCATAGATTCTGTGCACCAGTATAAAAAATATTACTCCTTTTCAGGAGCATGATGATTTAATGGTGCCTGACTGTACTAAGCACTTACTTTCTCTTCCTTGTCTAAAAGCTGAACATCTTCCCCCTTCCCTTTAACATGGGAGCTCCCATTGGTCCCTTCTGAGCCACCTTCTCATGCCATGGGTTTTCTGCAGTCTTATTCTTTTTCCCCATGAATTTTTTTCCAATGATAACCCACAAATTTCTATCTTCAATATAGATGTATCTTCTGGGAGCAATCAGCCACCTGCCTATCAGACCTCTCCCTTTATGTTCCACAGGCCCCTTAAAGTGAGTCAATACTTAACTCCTTATCTAAACCTCAAACCTGCTCCTCTTGGGGTCTCTGTCTCAGGAAATGGCACCATCAGAGACCCAAACTGGAAATATCAGTGTTGACTCTTCTCAGACCTTTACTCCCACAGTGAAACCTATAACTGAGTAGTGTTGATTCAACTTCCAAACTTCTCTCAAATCTATTTGGGCTGTCACTTCTCCAGACTTTATTACTGCTTGTCAATTCTGCTTTGATAACTTCCTAACTGGTCTCCTTGTAAGTCATGCTTTCTGCCATTATCCATACTGCTGCCAAAATCATTTTTCTAAAAGAAAATCTGATTGTGATTTCCCCACTTAAAACCCTTCAGTGGCTTCTGCTGCTCACTAGACATGATCCAGCATTTTGAACTTGGCACTCAAAATAAATATTTTTCTGAACCTCTGACACTAAGATGCCTGACAACTCAGTCAACTTAGCTGCTCTTCTCTGGCACATGACTCTGAAAGGTAACTTTGAGGCATTCGGATTCACCATTCGAGGGGCCATTTGAGGAATTCTTGAGAAACCCTGATACCCTTTCTTTCACTGCTACCTCAGAATCTGAGCCCTACTCATCAATGCCCTTTAGGACTTCAAGGAGCTAAGTCACCAAGATAACAAACCATGATAGGACACCTACCTGTATGACAGCGGGACCCCGTCCAGCCAGGTGGGCAGTCACACTGATAAGGGGCCACACAGCGACCGCTATTCAGACAGGGAAGAATGCATATTGCTAGAGAGGAGATTGAAAACGATTTGATGAAAATATACACACTAAGATATGTTCACGTGTTCAAAAAACATGATCCAGGAGGAGTAAAACCTTGTATGACCCACGAGAGAACTTCCAGTCTGTGTTGTGTTTATTAATCAGTATCACTGGGGAAACACAATTAGGAAAGTAACTCTGGTCCCTTAGCCTGCAGTCATGACTGATGCCAAATGCGCTCCTTTGGAGAAGACCCACTGTAATCAATATCTGCTAAGTGCTTCGCTTTCCCATCACAGAATAAGCAGAATGTTCCCCATTTAATGCAGTTTCAAATTTCCATTACAAATTACATAAAATGCTCTAAAAGGGTTTGGCTTCCACGAGGCACTCTTCTTGTCTTGAATTAAATGTGAAAATGGGAGTCAGACAGACTATCCTACAGGCTGTTGGCAACACATTGGCAGTGATGAGAAAACTTGCTCTTTATTTCCTTGGAGCCGAGGCCTGATGGTGATTGAATCAGGCCTCTCCTACACCCTCCACAGTAAACATTCCTCCTATTGAGCTCTTCAAAGAGGTGTAGTCTGTTTAAAAGGAGTGAGATTGTCTATTAGTTTGCTATTCCAAGCGTGATTCTCAAACCAAAAGTATTGGCATTACCTAGGTATTGGCTGGAAATGCAGAATCTCAGGTCCCAACTCATCTACTGAATCAGAATCTGCATTTAACAACATCTCCCAGGTGATCTGTGTGCACATTAAAGCTTGGGAAGTCCTGCTCTAAGCCATGAGGGTGGGTGCATGCTCAATGAGATAAGCAAGGCCTGTTGTTAGGGCACCCAGGGTCAATGTTCCCTGAGTCTTTGGACTCCTGCCATTATAGCAGGTCAAGTATGGAAGCCTTAAGTGGGAAGGAATGACTGGGGAGAAGAGGAAGAAAAATGTAATTTCTCTCCTTTCTTCATCACTGTGAGAATACTTGCTATGGTGAGTTGTTAACGGCCTGAATTTATTTCCATCTTATATTTTCCTTTCTAGATTAGTTGAAATAGTTACACTTAAAAAAGTTTTAGAATCTCATAAAATGTCTGGTCTTAGAAAAACCTGATGTAGACCAATGACCATCTCATTAATGACTTTTAATGTTATTTACATATACCACTCCCAACGAAAAATGAAATTGTGTTTTCCTAACATGTATTTTTTAAGATAGGAAAACAAAATGTGGATTAGACATTAAAAAATGTTTAAAACCACTTATTCACAGTATCCTGGACATTCAAATTAAAATGTATTACTATGAGAATAAATATTCTGTATTAATTTACCAACCATTGTGTAGATATGGGAATGCCAAATTTCCTTCATTGGGAAGAACTGCCCTTAATGAAAAAGAGTGACTGGTGAGCTGCAAAGTACAATGTTAGGCGACGCCATGAATTTACAGCTGTAGCTACGAGTGGCAGAATATATAAAAAGACTAGAGATGAAGGAAGACAGAGTCTGGGAAACCCCTGGTGACTAGCTCCTTTCCAGATGATCCTTAGAAATTTGTGCCAGGAGAATGTGGAGATGACGGATGTTGACAACTATATTTTCATGGTCTAATATTCTAGATCTCCTGAAAGTGACTGACACATTCCGATCAGCTCTAGCTGCCCTGTCTGGCCTGCTGCTGGGTAAGCAAATACATCCCTGCCACCAGCAGAGCCAGTTCCTAGTAACTCTGAGTTGGCAGCTTCCAGGAAAATTATCAGAACTCCAAGTAAGGTTTGAAGAAAGACTCACGTTCTTCACAGAGGCGCCCCATCCAGCCGTCTGGACAGGAGCAAGCATTTGGGCGTTGGCAGATACCTCCATTCTGACATGGGAATCGACAGACGGCTGTAAAAGAAGCAGATGGTCATAAATCGAGGGAATTACGGAAGGGTGGTTGTCAGATAATAGAATTACTCACGTCTATTGCATACTATATCCTTGGCTTAAGCGTTAAGGAAGAGAAACAAAATGGAATCTCAAGATTTGGTTGGGGATGAACCTGAGGGGCTCAGAAGGGCCACAACATCGCTATGAAGGTTTTAGTAATTGGGAGATTCAGGGTGAGGGGGACAAGGTGGCTTATGTAAAGGAATGCTCCTTCAGAAGATGTGCAAATGCCCTGGCAAAGGTGGCCTTTGGTGGCCAGGAGCTCTTTGGTGCTGCCACCACCTCACAGTATCTTAAGACAAAAGAAGAAACAAGAGCAAACAAACACACAACCCTTATTTTGACTTCTCATGTTAAGTAAAATCTGGACTATTCCCTGAAGATGCCACCTCCTCAGCAGCCCTCTTAAAAGAAGGTTGCACTTTCTCTTCCATCCCATGTGCTGATGATGTCATAGCTCACTGTTGCTTTCAGAAAATTAATTTTCTTTCTCCTGTAATAACCCTAGATATTTTTGAGGCTCATGCCATTCATCATGGACTACTTCAATTCTCCCTGCGCCCACAAGTTATGAAAGACTTTGGCTTTCCCACCAAATCCAAATCTGATCATTGTCCATGGGGCCATGTGGACAACCTCCCCAACAACTTGATTATTTTTTTAGTTCCTTGGATATGTGTATCTTGTTCACTAGCATAGTTCCTGACTTTCGGTAAATGTTTCTAGAATGAATGGAACAATTACGATTTGTAAATAAAATTATTAGAAAGGTATACATTTTAGAAGGACATGCTTGAATGCCTTGTTATTTACCTCTTTTTATTTTGCAGAATTACAAGCATAGAATCTTTTATTCCCCCAAGATTTTATTGAAAGCACACACAAAATTCATCTTTGGGTTTGAAAATTCCATACAGCAAGTAAAGAGACAGAAGTGCTCATGTGAACACAGAGTGCTGGTCACCCACCCGAGTATGGCCAGATGGGGCGAGAGCTCTGTCCCTGAGGCTGCCTGGTACCTCTTGTTTTATACTCTGCCCATTAGGTGGGCTGTCCCATCTCCTATGGGATTTGGGGCCTGCCTAGGATAGGTGGGTAGAACCGGAATCTGTGCTGAAATACTTGAGAGGCCAAGAGGTGCACCCAGGACCCAGACATGACACTGCTTCCCTTAGCAGCTGAGAATACTCCCGAGATCTGGAGAGAAGACGTGCCTGAGGATCCATGATTAACTCAGGAAGGGACACTGTGCTGGGGTGGAGTTCTGTGTGCAAGCTTTCAAAACTCAAACCAATAAAGTAAAAAAATAAAATGACACAAATGTTAAAATTTAAAGACAAAGAAAAATAAAACAGCATGCTCTCTACTTTTGGAATGCGTTAGATTTGGCATAACTCTAACTTAAATGAATCTTCACGAACTGGCTTCCAAAAGGTCACCTAGTGCCCTAGCCTGGTTGCGGCCCACATCAGACTTCCATATATATTTCCCTGTGGTTTCCCTAAGAAATAACCGTCCAAATGTATCCTTACCCCGGCAAATAGGAGGTGATGTCCAATTTCCACTCTCTAGGCAAACACTCCTTAGGGAACCTTCCAACATGTACCCACTGTAACACGAGTAGGTGATCATGTCCCCATACTGATAATGTACGCCTCGAGCAATTGCATTTGGTACATGACTTGGTGGACCGCATGAGATTTCTATAGGAAAACAAAACAGCAATGAGGCTTGTGCTACTGATCCAGACTGAATTAATTTAAGGAGCAACAAACAAACAAAAACAAACGAACAAACACACAAAAATCCCCAAAACATAAAGGCTACCATTTCATAAAGGCTAAGCGATACGAGGAACTAAAAGCATAACTTGCTGCTGTCTAGCAAAATTAGATGTGCAAGATCAAAAGTTTTGTCTTCTGATTTAAATGTTGAAGCTGAGCCGTGTTATACTCAAGGCAGGACGTCTGCAGGAGACCAAGAAGGAGCTCTGGGAATTTGCCTAAGATGTGGCGGCAAGAGAACACATTGCAGGCTGCTTATCTAATTAGAAGAGAAGCAGCAGGAGGATTACTTGCAGTCCACTATTTTAGAATAAAAAGCACTAACTGCAGCACTACATATTCTTTTACAAAATATATGTATTTTTATTAATTTCAGAGAGGAAGCGGGAGGGAAAGACAGATATCTCAACATCAATGATGAAAGAATCATTGATCAGCTGCCTCTTGTACGCCCCCTACTGGGAATCGAGCTCGCAACTTGGGCATGTGACCTTGACTGGAATTGAACCCAGGACCCTTCAGCCCACAGGCAGAAGCTCTATTCACTGGGCCAAACTGGCTAGGGCTGCAGTACTGCATATTCCATCAGGCTGTTTTATTAGTGCCTAAAACAGTGCCAGGCATGCAATGGATGATCTGTACATATTTGAAAAATGAGCAAATGAATGAATATTGTCTCTGGCTTATAAATACTGATTTTACACACCTTGATGAGGTTTCTGACATTCAGGGTTTCATATTACTTCCCTTTTTTTCAAGTCTATAAAACAGTGGCTCTCTACTTTTGGAATGTGTTAGATTTTGCATAAGTCTAACTTAAATGAATCTTCACGAACTGGCTTCCAAAAGGTGACTTAGTGCTGTAGCCCAGTGGTCGGCAAACCGCGGCTCGTGAGCCACATGCGGCTCTTTGGCCCCTTGAGAGTGGCTCTTCCACAAAATGCCACGTGTGGGTGCGCACGTACACTGCGATTGAAACTTCGTGGCCCATGCGCAGAAGTTGGTTTTCGGCCTGGGCGAGTCTATTTTGAAGAAGTGGCGTTAATCCTACTGATTAAATTAATATTTGTGCTCACCTTGGAAGAAAAAGAAAATTTAAAAGGATGATATACATTGAATATCCCCTCTGAAAACTTTTGAATTAGCCGGTCAGGTGACAGTCGGTCAGGCGACAGGAGACGTGGCACAGGCGGGCTGCGGGATACGCAGCGCGGGGGAGGTACATTGTTTTGAGATACACTTGCTGAGGTCAACCCCTTCCAACTCTCCCATTCACACTCGTCTTGTATACTTGTTTCAGATAGACAAGTGTAGATGGGAGAGTTGGAAGGGGTCGACCTCAGCGAATGTACCTCAATCAGATTGAGGGCATTTTTAGCAAAGGCCAGCTTAGAAGCACCCTAATTAAGTTAATAACCATGTACTTACCTATATAGTTTAAGTTTAAAAAAATTGGCTCTCAAAAGAAATTTCAATCGTTGTACTGTTGATATTTGGCTCTGTTGACTGAGTTTGCCGACCACTGCCCTAGTCAGTTTGGCTCAGTGGATGGAGTGACAGCCCGCTGACTGAAAGGTCCCGGTTTCAATTCCAGTCAAGGGCACGTACCTGGCCCTGGTCGGGAGCCCATGAAGGAGGCAACCAATTGATGTGTCTCTCTCACATGGATGTTTCTCTCTGTCTTTCCCCCTCCTTTCCACTCTCTCTAAAAATCAATAAAAAAATATCCTCAGGTGAGGATCAACAACAACAACAACAAAAAAAAAGTTTAAAGGTCACTTAGTGGTCAGGATACAATTCAAAACTTTTCAGAGGGGATGTTCAATGTATATCATCCTTTAAAATTTTCTTTTCTTCCAAGGTGGGCACAAATATTAATTTAATAAGTAGGATACCAAATATGTATTAATACCTACTGTGTATTAGAAACTGGAAAAAATAAATGATGATAATGCTGTCCCTTATCTCAGAAAATACAGAATGACAAAGAATACTGCAATACAACTTAGAAAGAGCAGAAGTAGAGCCCTGGATGCTGTGCTTTAGGAAAAAAAAAAGAGTAACTAAATTGAATTAGTGAAATGGGATATAAATTAGTAATGTAATATAAATTACTATTACTGATTGGAATGTAACTGCGCTTAGGATTGTCAGGGTGTAATTCATAGCGAGAGTGGTTTTTGGATGTGGCTACACAGCTCGAGTGGGTCAGGGGGAAAGAGCTTCCAGGCTGGGGAGCAGCATGTTGCACGATCATGGAGAGATGATGGGTGGTTTATACAAGTGGTTATCAAGCATGAATTTCAGATCCCCTATAGGGGAATCATCTTGGCTCTTTATTAAAAAATGCAAATTTCAGGATAGGAGCCTGCATTTACATACTCTCCCTGGGTGATTCTCATGCACATTAAATTTTAATCCCTGATTTGTAAGAATATGTAACAGGAGGAGGAAAAATACCTTAATCAATAAAGAAATTTAAAAAAAGAAAAAAAAGAATATATAAAGAACTCTAAAATAAATCAATAAGAAAACAAACAATCCAATAAAAATATCTTATAATTTTAGTGAACTGTAAAAAAAAAAAAAAAGAATGAGGAAAGTGGCTGTTCAGGCTCTTCAGGCAAGATATTTCGTTCTAAGCCAAAGACTTCCAGTCTAATAGAAAGTACAAAAGAGAGATTGAGGATAACAAACAATAGTGGGAATGGTCTCCTTCTCTCCAAGTCACCCCTGGTCCTCTCAAGAACACTGAGGAACAATTGAGCATACACTGAAGGAGCATGGGTAACATGCGCAGGTCTTTCCCGCTAGTTCTTTCAGTGCCCTGAGTGGTAAGACTCAAGGAGCCAAGATCAATGTGAGGATATGTGGGCAGGAGGAGGCCGCCTGCAATACACAGTTTCCTGGGGTAACGTAAACATGCTAATGCTGCAATAGGGCTGCCAGTTGAAAGTTCAAGGACTTGGGTTATTGGTATAAGGAGATATTGCTAATGTATATCAGTTCACTGATCCTTCGAAACTAGTATATAAGATAGGTATTGGTACTATTCACTTTACATAAGAGCCCAAATGTTCAGGGAAGTTAGGGTACTAGCATAAGCTTAGAGTTAGAAAGTTTTGAGGATAGAATTCAAGTCAAGCTCTTCTCTGGTTCCAGATTCTTGAGGCCCTCATACACACATTTCTTATCTCACTAACTGGAGTGCAAGTGTCCTGAAGATGGAGACCATTGCAGGCATAATCGATTCCTGTATCATGTAGCCCACTGCCTTGCATCTGGGTAGATTCAATAAATAGTTGTTCATTGATTGCTATAGAGGGAGTACCTTGGAGTACAAGGAAGGCTGGAGGGCAGGATGTTGGGCAGGGGGGATGTTTTAAGTGTAGAAAGTGTCAAGAATTATCATGAGGCAGCAGGAGGTGCTACCAGACGGCCTATTACATATCAAGGGGGTGCCCGCCCAGAGATTCTCAAATTGTGGTTACGGCACTGGCAGTATCACCATCAGTACCACCCGGGAACTTGCTAGAAATGCAAATTTCAGGCCTCATCCCAGACCTACTAGGTCAGAAACTCTAGGCCTCTGAGGGGCAGGGGAACAGCAAGGTTTTTAAGAAACCTTCTAGGTGGTTCTCATGCAGGCTCAAGCTTGAGAACCACGGTGGAATAATGTTTGTACTGCAAAGCATTCAGAGCTGATTAAGGGATAGTTTGGGAACTCTGACGATGTGGAGAGAAATTGTGTTTTAGATTTAACAATAGAAGATTTAATCTTAGAAGAGCACATTTCAAAAATCTGCAGTGGATCCTAGTCAGGTAGGTTTTAGCCTAGTTCTGGAAACTTTTCTTTCAATGTTTGGAATTCAAAGGTCTTTTAAAAGAATTTTTAAAACTACCAATAAGAAGCTGATTAGACAGAGACCTAAATATCTACAACCAAGTTACTTGATTAAAAATAGTCTCACAAAGATGAGAAAACATCCTGAACCAATGTATTTAACTGGACTCCACCTGTCCACTTACTTTCACACTTGGCACTTGTCTGTGTCCACGTCTCGTCAGGGTTGCAGGTAATGACGGCCTGGCCCTGGAGCAGGAAGCCTTCTCTACACTTGATGGACACATTCTGGTCCACGTAAAACTCCTTTTCAGAGAGCAGAGCGTTCTCAGGAATGACAAAAGGGACAGGGCATGGGTTTGCTGTTAAAAAGAAAAGAAAATGCTTACTGCTATTTCCCCTCTTTTCTTAATTTATTTCTTTGAAGGCGCAGGATGAGCCCTCTAAAAGGCTTAAAAATATAGAGCTTCAAACAGTAGACACAGACTCATTTGGCATTCCCATGAAATTATTTGAGAGAATAAATTATTTAGATAAGATCTGAAAACACCAAGTATTCAACTACTAACACATGGCCCCACACCTCTAAGAGGGCAAGTTAAATAGTGTTTGATTATGGCCCACAACATTTTTTAGACTGGTTCTGACCCGCCCTGGGGAAACAAAGGCATGCTAGAAAGCAAGGAGTGCACCAAACATTCTCTTACTATCTGGAGAATATTAAGGCATAGAGTAAATGCTTCTCATGGTCACTCTACATCCTTTTACTGAACATCCTTCAGAAGGATGAACCAGAGGGTCATCAGACACATCGAAGTGAATGAATCTGACTTTAGACCTTGCTATTAATGGTATCAGAATGGAAACTGTAGAGTTTGCAAGGCTTATTGACAAAAATTGATTCATTTTTCCAGGTCTACAGGAAAAATGGGAAATGATAGTGGAACAATTTCCTACTGCAAATGTGTGACACACATATCAACGCATATTTCAAGCCATTTCAGTGCTTTCTTTTCCCTCCATGGGCACAAAGGAAGTCTTTGTGAGGGAGGTAATTGCCAGATGAATCTTAAAGGCTCAGTCACTGTATTACAGCACTTTAACCAGAACTCTCTCAATTTATACCTTGCTCATGAATATTGTTTTCATTCCAGTGGTTATAACTAACTAGTGGCCGGGTGCACAGATTTGTGTACATTGAAAGGGAATTAATTAGAAGGTGGTCAGTGGGGTGGGACTGGGCGAGACCGGCCAGACATGCCCTGGAGCCAACCTCCCAGGGTCCCTTCCCAGCCAGCCAGCCACACCTGGGGCAGCACCGTGGCTCACAGGGCATCTGCGGAGTGAGCAGGGTCCCTCCAATTGGTGTGGTCCCTCAGCCTGGCCTGTGGGGATCAGGCTGAAACCGGCTCTCCAACATCCCCCAAGGAGTCCCGGAGTGAGAGAGGGCACTCTGCAAAGTTGCTGTCATTTGGCAGCTCCTGCATTGGGCATCTGACCCCTGGTGGTCAGTGTGAGTCATACCTAGAGGCCAGATGGTCACTTAGCCTTTTATATATATAATCTTTATGTGCTAACTAGAGTCCTGGTGCACAAAAATTTGTGCACTTGGGGTGGTCCCTCAGCCAGGCTTGTGCCCTCTCACAGTCTGGGACCCCTTAGAGGATGACCACTGCTGGCTTAGGCTTGCTACCTGGGGGATTGGGCCTAAGATGGCAGTCAGACATCCCTCTGGCAGCCCGGGAGCCCTTGGGGGATGTCCACTTGCCAGCAGGGAGCAGGCCTAAACTGCAGTCAGACATCTTTAGCACTGCTGAGGAGGCGGGAGAGGCTCCCACCACCACTGCTGTACTGGCAGCCATCAGCCTGGCTTGTGGCTGAGCAGAGCCACCAGCCTGGTGGGAGCACAATGACCACCAGGGGGCAGCTTCTGCATTGAGTGTCTGCCCCCTGGTGGTCAGTGTGCATCATAGCGACCAGCTGTTCCACCGTTCAGTCAATTTGCATATTAGCCTTTTATTATATAGGGTTATTATTATTATTATTATTATTAATATACTTCTGCATTTTCTGTTTATTTGTGTGCTGAGGGCTGTTTTCAGACTGGCCACACCTCTTTCAGGGAGGAGTGTCCTGCTGGGATGCCTGGCCAGCCTGGGTGAGTGGCTGATGGCTGTTTGCAGGCTTGCCACAGCCCCTTCAGGTGGGGGTCCCCGCTGGGGTGCCTGATCAGCCAGGGTAAGGGGCTGATGGTTGTTTGCAGGAAGGCCACAGCCCCTTCAGGGTGGGGGTCCCCGCTGGGATGCATGGCCAGCCTGAGTGAGGGCTGGATGGCTGTTTGCAGGCTAGCCACAGCCTCTTCAGGGTAGGGGGTCCCCACTGGGGTGCCTGGCCAGTCTGGGTGAGTGGCTGATGGCTGTTTGCAGGAATTATTTATCTTCTATAATTGAAACTTTGTTGCTTTGAGCGGAGGTCACAGCTGGCCAGGGCAGGTGGGAAGCTTGCCTTCCTCCATCACCGGGGCAACCAAGCCTCCTGCTTGCTCCAGCTCCGTGGCTGCCGGCCGCCATTTTGGTTGGGTTAATTTGCATATAGTCGCTCTGATTGGCTTATGGGCATGGCTTATGGGCGTGGCTTATGGGCGTGGCTTGTGAATGTTGTGGAGGTATGGGCAATTTGCATATTTCTCTTTTATTAGATGCTTATATACACTTTATTCATATTCCACATTTAGCAGATTTTCTTTCTTCACCCCTTTCACATCCTCAACCAAATTCACTATACATACATTTCTGTCAAATCTTTTTCATTAAGTTGCATTTTTCTCTTAGTGCCTTACACTTATAACCAGTCAAGGAACCTGATAAAAGCTGCTTTGTAGAGGAGACATGTTAGAAAACACAAGCAGGTTTTAAGACACTGCAGGGTATGTGGCTTGGGTATGCACAGATTGCTTTCTCTGGGCCAATCTCTCTTATCACAGAGTTCCCACTATGATTTAGACATTTCGGGAACTCATCGAGAAACCGAATCTGATTAAAACCTTTCCAATCATAAGTCAACACACACGTTTGCAGTGAGGAACTGGGTGGCTCCAGCTTCCATTTTCAGTGCAATAGACCTCGGGCGACCCTTCCAGACTGTAGCCTCTGTTGCAGGAATACACCACTCTGGGGCCAATGGTGGTATTTTCCACCTCAGCTTTCCCGTTCAGGAACTCAATTGGAGCTTCACAACTGATCTCTAAAAAGAAAAAAGAAAAGCTTCAGATCAAATGCGTCTCCCAATTCTCTTTCCTTCTTTTGCTATAATTGCTAAAGGTACCCAATGCACCATATAAAATGTTATAGCCTACTCAGGTGTGAGGCACATTGACAGGGGCATTGAAAAAGCAAATACCCCAGCATGCATAAGTTTTATATTAATACATGCAGGCAATTAAAGATTGCTATTTTGCCCCATTGACTCTAGCTGTAGTTATGTATAATGCTGGCTGGGGGTGTGGATGAGTGAAGGAATTCTCATTTATTAAGTTGTTTCCACGGCCAAGAGCTTTCCAGACATTATCAAACGTGTTTCTTACAACTAGAAATAAAATACAGACTGTCAAGTTAAATTTGAATATCAGATAAACAACAAATAAATTTTTAGAATAAGCATGCCTCAAATATTGCATGGGACATATTTATATTAAAAGGCATTTTAAATCTGAAGTTTAAAAGTAACTGAGTGTCCTTTTTGTTTGTTTGTTGGCTACATTTACACCCTTAGTGACAACTCTGAGATGATGTCATTTCACAGTTGAAGAAAAGTGAGATTCAGAGAGGTGAAATAATTTGACCAAGATCACACTGCTTCTAAAGAGAGATAAAAGATAAAAATTATTAGAAGGTAAAATGTAATAGGAAAGTATAAAGCACAAGGAATCATGAGCCTGACCAAAAATTCAGATAAGGAGCATTTTATATGGCTTCTAAGGATATAGACTCCACAAGCGGATGGTTAGTTTTAGTACAGTTACAAAGCATGGCTTTGCAGGAATGTGCTAGGAGGATAGCAGGATCATTCTTTCTAGAGTCTTAAGAAATGGGATTGAGTCTTAATCTGATGATCTTGGTGAAGGTAGAGGAAGTGGTCTAGACCGGTGTATCTCAATTTGGGCTGCACACAGGGGTCCTGGGGAAGCTTTATGCCGAGGGGCCTGTCCCAGACCAAATGAATCGGAATCTCTGTTGTGGTCTTGCTTTTGATATTTCTTAAAAAGTTCCCCAAACAATTCTCATGCTGATTCAGAATTAAGAGCCACTGATTATATAGATGCTAACTGACTTCTTTGGGCTTCTTTCAGCCTGGTTAGTACTTGGACCATGAACTTGAACTAGGTCAGTACCCTAGCATCACTAGGAAGCTTCAAAAACATACTGATATTGGATCCTACCCTCTGAGACTCTGACCTAAATGGTACAGGATGCAGACTGGGCAAAGGATTCTCCAAAGTTCCCAGAATATTTCAATGTGCAGAAGGCTAATAACCACAGGTCCAAGTCACTGCTTTTCAAATTGCAATGTGCACAGGAATCACCTAGGGATCTCATTCAAATGCTAACTGTGATTCAGTGGGATTGGGGTGTGGCCTGAGAGTCTGTATTTCTAGCAAGATCCCAGGTACTACTGATGCTGTTGGTCCCATGGGCCACTCTTTGAAGAGCACCGTCTAGGGCAGTGGTTGGCAAACTGCAGCTCACGAGCCACATGCGGCTCTTTGGCCCCTTGAGGGTGTCTCTTCCACAAAATACCACGTGCGGGTGTGCACGTACAGTGCGATTGAAACTTCGTGGCCCATGTGCAGAAGTCGGTATTTTGTGGAAGAGCCACAATCAAGGGGCCAAAAAGCCACATGTGGCTCGCAAGCCGCAGTTGGCCGAGCTGCAGTTTGCCGACCACTGGTCTAGGGTATCCTATGCACTTGAACAGGCTTCCCTGAAATCTGATGGCTACAGATATCAATCTATTTAATAATTTAATAAATATTATATGAGGATCTTTCAAATTGGGATGCTCAGTATGAGCACTATTTCCTCCAAAAAATATTAGTGTTTTTTATATGCCTAGGGAAAAAGCACACAATACAGCATATCAAAATAACAATAGTTTTTAACCTTGAGTGTGTGGGGAACAGGGGACTTGGTTGGAAAATCTGTAAGGAGGAAACTGTGAAAGGTTGGGACCTCTAGGGGGAGTTGGCTGAAGACAACCACCCTGCCTTGACTTTTCAAACAAGTCTGAGCCCCTGGGTGTTTACTGGAATCTTTATGTTTAGTCTTTAGACATCTTTGCCTAAAGGACACTGCATATGTCTTCTCAAGGATGCTTACCCTACTGATAGTAACTAATAGTTAATATTAGTTCAAGCTGTTGATACAATAAAAGCCTAAGGAGACAGGTGAAAGGGGCTATCTGGTTTCTCTAGCCAGACAGTCCCTTAGCCCTCTCTTTCACAGAACCATGTGTCAGAGTAATCATTCATCCATCACACAGGGTCTGCTGGTCAGCCCCAGCATGAGTGGTGGGATTAAAACTATTATTTCCTTTTTGCTATTTCTGCCATTTTTTTTGCAAATAACTTGTATAATCTGATTTGATAGTTAGAAAGACGAAAAACAGAAAAAAATAGGATTCAAGTAGAGCTTTTTATCATTATCTTGCATTTCAGAGAGAGAAACTAAACTAACCATTGTCATTGTAGTTTGACTTAAACCTGCTGCAAACTGAAACAACTTCTTCACATTTCCTATGCAGGCATACCCATTTCCTTCCCACTGCCTATTCCCCTCCCTCATACATGCACACACTTTTTGATCATAAACAGTTGAGACAAAAATGCCATTCTGTGATTGAGATGTTACTCAATATTTAAAAAAATATTTTTCTATATAATATTTATATAGCTTTTTCAGAACAAAAAAATCATATAACCTCTACTGAATTTCAGCTATAATATTTCCTAAAAGACTTAAGATTTATATATACATGAAATCAATTGATTAATCTACCCCAGAAGATATGTTTGAAATGACAGTGAACAAAGATTTAAGTACCTCAAGTTCCAGTCACAGCTCTGCCACCAAATTAATTTATGACACTGGGCAGGTCGCTTCACCTCTCCTAGCCCCATGTACTCATTGAGCAAGATGAATAAATTTACTCATATTGATGTAGTCCAGCCTAGTTAAGCTAGATCACCTGAAAGGTTGCTTAGACTAGATTGGTTAAGAGGCCCCTTCCAGTGTGAAAATTTGATGACTCCACCAGGATTGTTAAGAGAAAAAATATTTAAAAGCTTTTCACATTGATTGATTTGTAATTATTGTATCTAAATACACTGCCTTTTGGCAGAGGAATCATATGGGTCTTTGTTGCTAAATACACTTGACTCTTCCCATAAAATGAGTTAATGTAAAATTCCATGAAAAATGTGAATATTTGATTATTTAACATATGTGCCAACATCACTTTAGGAAGATGTCAACATTGGTGAGTACTGTCACCAAACACCGACAGATCTAAGCTTTCTAATTTATAATTATCTGGGGGGAAAACACAAAATGCAAATAAATTCAATAATTAACTATTCCAGAGTTAGTCATCTTGTGCTCTATTCCAACATAATCAATGATCTCAACTATAGTTTTTTTTGTTTCTTTATTTTTAAAAAAGATATATTTTATTGATTTTTTACAGAGAGGAAGAGAGAGGGCTCGAGCGTTAGAAACATCGATGAGAGAGAAACATTGATCAGCTGCCTCCTGCACACGGCCCACTGGGGATGTGCCCGCAACCCAGGTACATGCCCTTGACCAGAATCGAACCTGGGACCCTTCAGTCCACAGGTCGACGCTCTATCCACTGAGCCAAACCGGTCAGGGCATCAACTATAGTTTTTGACCCTTTTATTGATTTGTTGTCCTTCAGCAAAAGTCCGAGGTCAATTTTTTAAATTACAAAACTGCTTTGTAAAGACATTGTTGTCTCATTGTTATTCTGTATCTCCTGTATCAGTTTTGGGACTCTAAGTGCCATTTGACTTACTTTTGCACGTTGCTACCTCTCCACTCCACTGTCTGTTCTCCTGACAGAAACGTTCAATGTTCCCCTGTGAATCAATGAAAAAACGTCATCAACATGGTCATAACTGTACAATGGAAAGATAATAGGGGAATGCAAAGTAAGCATAGCTGTGACCTTGACTATCTCGGCATTGAAATGCTTAATAAATTCATTAAGTAGACCTAGTTTAAGAGGTAGATTTAGAGTTGTTAAAATGTTTTCATCAAATTACTTCAAAATTCATATCCTGGCTGACTAGTGTAATTAAGGTGCAAGCTTTGTTTCACTTTCTATTTAAATGACGACTAGTTATAACCAATAGTAAAGACTGAAGAATGTGTTTGAAGCGTCAAGGAGGTATATTTGCTTAGTATATTTTAAAATTATTTTGAAAATACTTGAGTGGTACAGCAAAGAATGAAATTGTGTGTTGTTGTTGTTGTTGTTTTTGTATTTTTGAACATGACACATGCCAAGATACCTTATTGGTACGAGGACTGAATTTTTCAACAATTTATCCTATATAAGTTTACCCTAATAAGGGCACAAGCATTTACAATTTTAAATATTTTCGCCTTAGCTGGTTTGCTTAGTGGATAGAGTGTCGGCCTGCAGACTGAAGGGTCCCAGGTTCAATTCCAGTCAAGGGCATGTACCTTGGTTGCAGGCTCCTCCCCAGCCCAGGCCCTAATCAGGGATCATGCAGGAGGCAACCAATTGATAGATTTCTCTTACGTTTCCCTCTCTCTTCCACTCTTCCTAAAAATCAGAAAAATATCCTTGGTGAGGATTAACAAAAAATAAAATTTTTAAAAATACTTTGGGTAAAAGCTTTCCAAAATTTACTTTCCTGCCTTGTGAAATAGAGTAAAATGAATATAATTTACTTGAAAAATTATTTATAATTATTATGTTAAATATACTTTTTGTATATTTTCAATATCCTATTTCCCTTAGGGAATATACAGACTGTTTGCCCCCTATAGCTATAATAGGCTTATATATCATTATTCTTTGATTTCTGTTACAATTTTTATTAGTCTTTGCTTCTTCTTTCTTATTTATCTTTTACTAGAGGCCCAGTGCATGAAATTCCTGCACTCAGGGGCAAGGGTCCCTCAGCCCTCCTGTGCCCTCTCACAGTCTGGGAGAGGCTCCTGCCACAACTGCGCTTGCCAGTCATGAGCTCCTACATTGAGCATCTGCCCCCTGGTGGTCAGTGCATGTCATAGTGACCGGTTTTTCCACTGTTTGGTTGATTTGCATATTAGCCTTTTATTATATAGGACTAGAGGTCCGGTGCATGAAATTCATGTACTGGGTAGGGGTGTCCCTCAGCCCAGCCTGCCCCTTCTCACAGTCCAGGACCCGTTGCTCCTTAGCGTTGCTGCTGCCACAGAGGCAGAAGAGGCTCCTGCCACTGCCGATGCACTTACCAGCCATGAGCCCAGCTTCTGGCTGAGTGGCACTCCCCCTGTGGGAGAGCACTGACCACCAGGGGGCAGCTCCTGTGTTGAGCATCTGCCCCCTGGTGGTAAGTGCATGTCACAGTGACCAGTCATTCCGCCAGTCTTTTCACCCTTTGGTCTATTTGCATATTAGGCTTTTATTATATAGGATGGTAATCATCAATGTTTCTAATGATAATTCTTTTCATGCTTTAAATTCCTAATCTCTGGAATAATAAACAAGATACAGTAAATAAAATTCTGAAACATTATGAGTTAAAAAAAAGATCAGGTTCTAAGTAATGTATTAAGGGGTTTGACTCTAAGTCGAATATATGAACTTCAGCATATGAATTCTGTCACATGCTTTTTCATTGCTCATAGTCCTTTGGATATCTCATTGTCTTAAAATTGTGTCCTACATTAGCAAGGTGTCTGTAAAGAACCTATCACCTCTACTTTGGTTTTTATCTGGATTCACTGATACCTTTCACCCTTATTTATCTATTCAAAATATTTTCTCTAAGCTTTCAGATTAATTACTGACACATCTTTACCTGTTAAAATTCCATCGACTTTGATGTAATGACACTGTCCTGATTTTCCAAGAAAAGAATTCATTCTATAAAATTAAATGTTTCCTAAATGATGTATTCATTATTTTCTTCTTATTGAAAAACCAATACGTGTTCATTATAGAAGGTTTGGAACATACAAGAAAAATAGAAGGTTTTCCAGGATTCTTCATCCAGAGATAAACACCATTAATATTGGCTATACTTTTTCTAGGCTTATGTACTTACGTATGCACAGGGAAATATACTATTCTAACTTGTGAATTATTTTTTTAAATTAATTTTGAGGCAGTATATGCCAAGTCATAAAAGCCAGTTAACTCCCCACTGATGTGGGCTCTTCCAGAGCAGACTATTCTCAAGTAGTTAATTTTAATTAATAGTTTAGTATTGTTCTCAGTAATATTTTTCCTTGTTCTCTTTCCTCTAATGATTTGAATAATGATATTCTGTTTTGACTAAGATGATTTTTATGCCAGTAAAAACTCAAATCTATTTTCTGTAACTATTGATGTAAAAAAATCAAACACCATCTGCTGATTCCCTCCTCAGTAGGCTGCAAATTTTATCACACTGTTCCTTCTTTCCTTTCTCTCTCTGTTTCTGTTCATATCTTGCTTTTGATGAATGTAGATGGAATTTTAGATCTAGATGAGCATTAAATTTTTATTGTACCTGCTTAATCAACAATTAGGTTAGTTATATTAAGTTTTAGAATCAAAGCAACCACTTTATTGCTTACTAGCAATGGTTTTATAACATAACTACCCCATTTTTGAGTTCTGTATTTTCATTTATTATCCAGTATTTCAAGAAGATTGGATGCATAATAAAAGTTTTGAGGTTTAGATAGTTCCAAAGAGTTGTGTACCTTACATCTAAATGACAACTTATTTACATAGTCAAATAATTTAACATCAGTTGTCCCAATTGCTTTGTCTGGTTTTGGTAATAACACCAATACAGGAAGTAATAATAATAAGTACCCTTAACGAACTCAGACAAGGCACAAAGGGCCATGCTCACCACTTTATTTCTTTTATCTCCAGCCCTTGCAGTAACTTTGCAAAAGTGGTTATTGCATTTCTACCATAGACAGGATGAAATAGAGGCTCAGAGAGGTTCGGTTGGTTCCCAGCACTTTCATCCAGCAAGAGTGAAGACCTGTAACAGAGGTCTTCCAGGACCAAATCCCTATTTTTTTTTTTAATTGATTTCAGAGAAGGGAGAGGGAGAGAAAGATAGAAACATCAATAATGACAGAGAATCATTGACTGGCTGCCTCCTGCACACCCCACACTGGGGATTAAACCCACAACTTAAGCACATGCCCTGACTAGAAATCGAACTGTGACTTCCTGGTTCATAGGTCGACACTCAACCATGGAGCCACTGCAGCTGGGCCAAGTCCCTATTCTTAACCACTTTCCCTTCTACTGGCCTTTGGTATATAGGTTACTTGTTAAAATTACAAATCCCACTTGGCCAGCGTGGCTCAATGGTTGAGGGTCGACCTAGGATCCAGGAGGTTACAGTTTGATTCCCAGGGGGTGGGCTTGATCCTCAGTGTGGGGTGTGCAGGAGCAGCCAATCAATGATTCTCTCTCATCATTGATGTTTCTTGCTCTCTCCCTTCCTCTCTAAAATAAAAAATATATATATATTAAAAAAATCCCCAGGTCTTATTTGGTTTAGAAGGCCTTGTCCTATGAATATCCACTCCTTTTTCCAACTTCCCAGATGACTCTCAAGTGGCTCTTGAACCACACCTTAAGAAACATAATGGCGTGTCTATACAAGCATGAGGCACATAATGTCTGGCTGCCTCTATTTTTTTCCCTAATACGAACAGCTTTGATGATAATGGCCTAAATCCATTAATTGGCATGAGTTGCAAATTCTGGGATTTATATTCTATAATTTGTTACCTGGAATACTTATCTAAAGGGGAACTTTCCCTTCATCTACTTACTATTTGGTGATTTAGCAGTCTGGGTAGCATGGAAAAACATTCTTCCTTTTTTGTTGTCTGTTTTCAAAATAATGAGTTTGTTCATTACCAATACATTTTTTTAGCATTTTCGTAGGTCTGGTATTAGTCACGACACATTTGATGTGTTCCAGTCCATTGAAGTTACTGCCCTATTGATGCTAAAATGGTGTCCTTTTTGCTGTGGGAGCCTTGTTCAGGTGGCTTCTCAGTTTCTGTAAACTGAGCCACTGTGGCCGGGCCAAGTCCCTTGTTAAAAATATAATAATACCTTTGATAGGTTCTTTCCTGTCTCATGTGACAAGATTTTCTAAGCGAATCTTTTACACTTCTTGTCCCAGACCTGGAATCAGTTATTTCTGCAAGTACCTGGATATTAATGTATTTTTAAAAATGTTTCTCAGGTAATTCTAACATGTAACATGGAGTGAGAACAATTGCTACAGCACCTCTTTCAATCTTGCAGGTAACACCAGGGCATTCCCCCAAATTACCTACTTCCTCAAATTTAATGACCCACTAGTTTTCTACATATTTGTTTAAATCTTATACTACCTTTTTCCTTAACAAATTGCAAAATGAATACTCTCCATGAACAACTGGGTTTCAAAAACAACTTTCCAATTGCAACCAACTGTTACATTATTATTATGTTTTCTTTCTTATAATTTTCCAATCTTTTGAAGAATTTGAACAAGATCCATCCGTATAAGCTCAGTTCCAGTGTTCATGGACCTATCTTATGACAATTCTTCGATTGTGTGGTCAGAAAATGGAATGCACTATACAAATGTAACAGACCACTGGCAATGAATAGTTCTGCAAAACCTACACTTAAATACCACGACAACAATAAGAACAGGGAGGAAGAGTTTCCTGAGAAACCAGATGACACCATTCTGTAATGTAAGACAGATTTCTTAAATTTCCAAGTTGGATGATATCGCCATGCTTTCATCAAAACTGATTGCAGCCTTCCTACCAAAGTAATTAGGGAGACGGAGGTGCTGCTGATGGGGTTTTAATATTACAAACCAGGAGTGGTCATGAGACCTAGCCTGGTCCTTGGTTAGAACGGCTGTGAGGATTTTTCAGGCCAGATCTGCCATGTGGAAACCTGGCATCTCAATCAAGAACCTGTCTAGGTGTCTGAGCCCACTGCTTAAGGAAACCCTAGCTTTGCATACCTAAATCCCTATGGTCACCTCCCCAGGGTGACAGATGGACTGCCTGTTGCAGAGTCTGACCAACGGATGGCTGGCAGAGTCTGACCAACAGACGGCTGAAACGCAGGCTTAGTGTCAGTCTTACGGTTGGCATACTAACTTCTCCCTTTATGTGGCTTTGATTTTTTTTTTTAATTCAAGACTTATTTTGCTTTTTAGAATTGTAAGTCACCTTAAGTATTCTTGTAAAGTATTAGTGTAAAAGGCAACAAAGTATAAAGGAATATTTTAGGACCAACATCAGTGAAATCAGTGAAACAAATCAGTGCTAATACTAAACATGTTCCCAAGTAGACTGGAAAAACAAATGAATTCTGGTTAGATGGTTTGTTTGCTCACCTCTAATTCATAGCCGGGCTCACACTGATAAATCACCGTGCTTCCAAGGCTGAATATACTGCCAATCACAAATCCATATTCTGGACTTTCAGGTTTCCCGCAAGAAACTGGACTGCACGATTCATCAGAAAATGGTGGCTCCCAGGTGCCATCAAGCTAAGTAACAAATAACAAGTTGTGAGTTATATTTAGGAGTTAAATTGTATGAATGAGGAAATATGTCAATATTGATTGCATAGCAGGATGATCTCCAAAATGATAGTCAAAAGGACCTAGAATTTGGTCCTACTTCTGCTATTTACTGTCTGTGGCCGTAATAAACACATTAATTATTATATAGTTTTTATAGTCATTACTAAACAATTTTGGACATTTCTTAAGCATATAAAATAAGCATTTTCTTCCTAATAAAATCCATTAAAAAACCAGTAGCAGCAAGGAGTATGTTTTCATTATGATGCATAAGGGCAGGGTGATTTCTGTGACATACCAATGCACCCTTGTATTTCACAAAATTCTACACTGTATTTTAAAGTGTATGAGAAACAGCAAATTTTAGGCATACCACTCAAAGTTTAAGAAGATGGCTTCCATTTCTCCATTCCAACTTGAATACTTGAAAACATTCCATTATATATTTTGGAGTCACATAGTTAAAAAAGTGTACGTATATCCACATACACCCATATGCTTTCTTTCCCGATCATCATGGTTAGAATGAACATTTCTCAGCCCTCTATTTAGGTAAAGTGAAGTAGGCACAGATATTTCCTTAGACTGTTATTCTCTTGCTAATAGTGTTGTCTTCTTTGAGGAAATAGTTCATGAGTTGGATAACTGTCTAAAACAGGATTTGAGGCAAAGCCTTTTATTCTACATATCAGCATGTAGTAATTATGTATACATACATGCCTGCATCAGAATCATCCATTCCCCTAATGTTGGAAATATAAATTGTATCTAATTTTATACTATATATAGTGCTTCAATATTTCTGAATTACTCATTCTAGGTACTTTTTAGTAACTTTGTAAAAAATTGTTTTATTCCTATTTAGTATTCATTTTTCAGAATTCATATAGATCTTTTCATGCATTTGTTTTATGAACCATAGGACCATTTTGTTATATTACAATAAAATATTTTAGGCATCGAACATAGTTTTATACAATGTATACATTTAAACATTCAGAAAGGGTCTATTCAGACCAAAAACTAACCCAAAACTCAGCTGACTGAAGGTGAGGGGTCATGCTATGTGTGGAGAAAGTAAATGAATTACTGACTTGGGAAAACGAGCACAGACACCTGTAAGGCAGGGTCCTTCGGGCACGTGAGAGGCCATCTCCTCCTGCACACACTCAATGGGAGGACATTGAGTGATTCCTGTAAGTGTTTATGAACCATAGGACCATTTTGTTATATTACAATAAAATATTTTAGGCATCGAACATAGTTTTATACAATGTATACATTTAAACATTCAGAAAGGGTCTATTCAGACCAAAAACTAACCCAAAACTCAGCTGACTGAAGGTGAGGGGTCATGCTATGTGTGGAGAAAGTAAATGAATTACTGACGTGGGAAAATGAGCACAGACACCTGTAAGGCAGGGTCCTTTGGGCACGTGAGAGGCCATCTCCTCCTGCACACTCACTCAATGGGAGGACATTGAGTGATTCCTGTAAGTGTGCTGAGGCTTCGCTTGGTTCAGAAAGCTCAGGGTCTTTGAAAAAGTTTCCCCTCAAACTGTTTCATCTCTAAATCTAAGAGGGAACATCTGGAACTCTACCAATTTTGAGAGCATGGCCACTTTGATGTTCCTATTCCCGGCAATGTTTGCTTTTAGGCTTGGCAGGAACCAAGCATTGAATATGCATGATTTACAAATGGGAAACTGGAAGGAGAAGGAAATCGTTCTCAAGTCCCTCCTAGACGGCAGGCATATACTAGACACTTTATTACATTAAATAATGCAATCCTTTCAATGGCAGATATATGTAAAAAAGAAAACAAGGTCACAGAGCCTCAAAATATTTGAGATGAAGTTCAAAGGCACGTTTAATGGAAAAGCCACTCTACACCATGACGCATTCCTCCTCCCCCTACCCCAAACTCCAGCAAAGGAAGATCATATCAATGATTTATTTTTCTTTCTTCGGTACAACTTCAGGAAGCCAGGAGAAGGGAATGCCCTAGGGCAGTGGTCGGCAAACTGCTGCTCGGCAAACTGCGGCTCGTGAGCCACATGCGGCTCTTTGGCCCCTTGAGTGTGGCTCTTCCGCAAAATACCGACTTCTGCACATGGGCCACGAAGTTTCAATCGCACCATGGCCCTAGGGCAGCCGTGGGCAAACTACGGCCCGCGGGCCGGATCCGGCCTGTTTGAAATGAATAAAACTAAAAAAAAAAAAAAGCCCGAACCCTTTTATGTAATGATGTTTACTTTGAATTTATATTAGTTCCCACAAACACTCCATCCATGCTTTTGTTCCAGCCCTCCGGTCCAGTTTAAGAGCCCATTGTGGCTCTCGAGTCAAAAAGTTTGCCCACCCCTGGCCTAGGGAGTTGGCTGCCTTCAGTGCTGAGCTAGCTATATAGCTTTTCATACTGATCATAAAAGATATGCATTACTATATATTTTTCTTTCTTTGTTTTTTAATTCTCACCTGAGGATATTTTCCCATTGATTTTCAGAGAGTGGAAGAGAGGAAAAGATAGAAATATAGATGTGGGAAAAACACATCAACTGGTTGCCCCCTGCATACACCCCGACCAGGGCCTGAGCCAGGGAGTAGCCTGCAACCGAGGTATGTGCCCTTGACCGGAATTGAACCTGGGACACTTCAGTTCGCAGGCCGATGCTCTATCCACTGAGCCAAACCAGCTAGGGCTCTATACATTTTTCTAATAAAGAAACTACAGCCCAGAAATTTTAAGTAACTTTCTTAAAATCACACAACTCAAAAGAAGCAGAATCAGAATCTGACTCCAATTTCTGTCTGTTTCTACAGCCTCCGATCTTCCTACTAGAGCTGGAAACCTATTTGGAATCATCAGGGCTCATTTCTATATATAGACTCTTTTGAACATCTATGTGTATATACAAACTTTGCCTCTTTTTATTGAACCCTGCTTGGTATTTTTGTTAGTTTAAAAACAGGAATATTGGAAAGATGTATTTTATTATATTTCTATCCAAAGATTTTTCAAATCCTTTGACATGATTGGAAACATGAGTACATCAATGAGTTACACTTACACGTTCTAATTAAGACAGATGATCTTACCCGACAGGTCGATATGTTAACTCCCTCGTAGGTGTAGCCTTCTGCACATGACACAGAAACTTGCTGGTTCACACTGAAATCGTCCCCATGAACAAGTACACGTGTGATGTTTGCTGGCAGAGAACAGTTTTTGGGACTGCAGGAGATTCTCTCAGGGGACCAACGGCCATCTTTCTGACAGGTGAATGTATCTATGTCTGTGTCCATCACATAACCTTCCAGACATCTGCAACAGATAGGCAAAAATAAATGCCTTAAGGAGAGAACAGTGCCCTTGGTGAACTGTTCTTGAATGTAAGACGCTGTTATAAGGCTCTGTAGGTATTTTGTGTGCTATACCAAAACTGATGCAAGCATCAGGTGGAGGCATTGCCATGCAAGAACACCAAGATGATAACCAGATAAACCCTTTGTTATCCACATTAAGGATTAGCCAAGATTGAAGTTGCTTGAAATGTTGTTATTATTGCCCTTCATTGTAGATGATATCACTACCGAATTCACGTTTATTCTAAAAACAGCTAATAAAGAAATTCTAGACAAAGTCCAAAGTAGACTCAACTACTAGCAAGAATATAACATAATCAATATTTATTGGGTATTTACTTTGTGCCCAGCACTGTTTTAGGTCCTTTACATAGGATAATTCGTTTAATCCTGATTATTAGATACTATAATGTCACAGTAGTATGGCTGTTCAAATTCAAATCAACCTGGCTCTAAAACTCTATGATTTAAAAATTTTGCATTTATTTATTCAGCATAAATAATATTTACTTATTAAATTCCAGTCACTGTTCGTAGTGCCCTACAAATATTAACTCATTTCATACTCAAGTCATCCCTATGAGTAGGTACTGCCATTCTCTGTGTTCTCATTTTGTAGATGATGAAACTGACACAAGCAAGCTGAGATTTCTACCTAGAGAATATGGCTCTAGAATTAAACCATTTAATTAGCTAACATTTATTAGGTGGATATGTTTTTTTTAAAATTTCACAAATTATAGGCCACGTAGGAGTCAAACTTGGAGCAACCCATTTCTCTATTAAGTGATTTTGACCAATCACTTTTCATTTTACAACTCTTTTGCCCTCATCCGTTGGAAACTTTGAGTCGTGGTCTTACCTGAGCTTCACTTTACTTTCATAGGTGTGCGCCTCTCCAATTGCCACTGCATTGGCAACAGATGGTGGGGGTCCGCAGGACAGGGGCTGACAAACTGGATAAGGCTGGCTCCACATCCCTTTCTCGGTGCAAGTCAGATGTGAACTGCCCTGGATGACATACCCAGGTCTGCAGCTGTAAGTTATCACATTTTCTTCCAAAGAGTCACTCTCACTGATGAATGCATTTGGTATTGTTGGGAGAGAACCACAAGACATGTGTTCACAGCGGGGGAAGTCAGAGCTCCACTGGCCATCGGCTTCACAGGTGATTTCAGAAGGTCCCAGGAGCTTGAAGCCTTTAAAGCACTGAAGCTGAGCTGTCTTTCCACAACCCAAATCTGTTCTGTTGACAGTTCCACCTTGAATGACTGGTGTGAAACACCTGCAAGGCTGGCAGGAAGGTGGGCTGCCACTCCAGGAGCCATTGGAGAGACACCTTCTTGAAGGACTTCCATGGAGCTTATAACCGGAAAGGCACTGATACTGTATATGCCCCCCATGATAAAAGGAAAAGCCATTAGGGAAGCCATGGGAAAGATCTTCAGGAGGTCCACAGTTAACCAGTTTACAGAGAGGAAACTCTGCGTCCCAGTTCCCGTCTGATTGACAGGTGAGCTTTGGAGCACCGTGCAACACGTAGCCCTCCTGACAGCGGAACACCACTTCCTTCCCGAAGCCATACTCCAGGCCATCCATCACCCCATTTGCCACCTGAGGTGGGGTGGCACAGTTGACAGGCACACAGATGGGGGTGGTTCCACTCCAACTTCCATTGGCCAGACAAACACGACTCCTGGCTCCCTCAAGTAAGAACCCTACATTGCAAGTGTACTCAACCTCTTTTTGGAATGTGTACTCATCTCCTCTCACCTGGCCATTGGCTAAGATTGGGGGTGAACGACAGTCCACAGGAATGCAAACTGGCTCATTCCCATCCCAATTTTTATTTTCTTGGCACGTTCTCCTCTCAGTGCCATTCAACACGTACCCGGGATTACATTCATAGTACAACACACTCAGGTAGGTGTAGTTGTTTCCTTTGATGGAGCCATTTGTAACTGGACTTGGTTTTTTGCATGCGATGGCCTCACAGTGCGGGGAAGCACCACTCCACTCTTTATTCTGTAGACAAAGTCTTATGTCGGAGCCCACCAGAATGTACCCGGGTTTGCAGCTATACTGGACAGCACTGCCCATGGTGGTCTCTGTAACATGCAAAAAGCCATTTTCAGGAGCAACAGGCAAGTCACATTCAATTGAAATGCAGGATGGGGCACTGCTGTTCCAAGTTCCATCTTCCTGGCAGATCAGCACAGGGTTCCCCAAAAGTTCATAACCTGGATTACAGGTGTATGAGACCATGGTGCCATGTAGAAAGCTTGTCGAAAGCGTAGCAGGAGTTGAGTTTTCCCAGGTTTTAACCACTGCTTCCAGATAATGATGAGGGTGAGGAGTCAGATAGGGAACTTCCATCATATCTTCCTCTTGGTCAAAATACCCCTCACCATCCTTGAGCTTAGTATAGTCTCCAAAGTCAGTTTCAGGAGGGAGACCACAGTCTATGGGTACACAGGTTGGGCTGGAGCTTGACCATCCGGACTCTTCACAGGTATGCATGGCATGACCAGCCATCTGGAATCCAGGGAAGCAGCTGTAGATGATCATAGAACCATAGCTATAATCTGCACCTTCGACGAAGCCATTATCAATGGGTTGCGGGGGGTCACAGTGGATGGCACTGCAAGATGGGACATCCACATCCCAATCACCTGTCTCTAAACAGGTCAAGGTCTTGGGACCTTCAAGCCTGAAGCCTGGGTCACAGGAGATCGTAATGGTTTGTCCAGAGTATAGGTTTGTGTGAGAGAATTGTCCATTCAAAACCTCCTTGGGCTTTGGACACTCAATGGGTTTACATGTTGGTTTGCCTCCAAGCCAGTGACCATCTTCTCCACATAGGATGGTAGTATTTCCCACCAACTCAAAGCCTGGCCTGCAGGTATAGAGAGCTGTGCTGAGATAGGCAAGACCATGCACATCGATGATGCCATTGAGGATTTCTTCAGGTTGGGGGCATTCCACTGGGACACATTCAGGCAGTGGAGAGCTCCAGGTACCGTCAGCTTGGCAGAGGATGGTAGGATCTCCTCTTAGGAAAAAGCCATCCACACACGAATAGTTGACGGTACTTCCAAAATGAAGAGCGGAAGCAGGAGCAGGGACACCAAAGGCAATTAGGGGAGGTGGGAGGCAAAGAACCATCTTACAAACAGGAAAAGAATCATTCCATTGCTGGGATGGCAGGCATTTCAGGACAGAGGGGCCCTGGAGGACATGCCCTTCTTTACAGGAGAGCATCACCACTCCCACCTCCGCAGTCAACTCTTTCAGCACCAGCTGGTTTTCCAGGAGGGGTGGATCTGGGCACTTGGTGGGCACACACTTTTGGTTTGGCTTCTTGTTCCATTTGCCAGATTTCTGGCATGTCCAAGAGTTATCTCCAATAAGTTCATAACCCTCATTACAGAAAAACTGAACTTTGGACCCCACTTCAAAATTGTCTCCTTTCATGTAGCCATGCTGGATCGGGGGAGGTTTTCCACAGCTGAGAGGGATGCACGACAGAGGGGATTCACTGTGCCAGTGGCGATTGGCTTGGCAGACAAATACAGGGCTTCCAATTAGCTTATATCCCGGGTTACACCGAAATCTCACTTCACTCTCAAAGACCCTGCCAGTGACATGCTGCATGACAGGGAGAAACAATTAAGTACAATTTGTATAACAGATCTTATGATTAACTAAATACACTGAATAGTAAAAACGAACTAAACTAAAATGCCTAATTTAAAATGAATCAATTAAGACAAGCAAATAAGGATTTATGTTTTTTTCCAGTAGGGCCAAATGCTATTTTTAAAATAAGTTCAAAGGACAGTAGGAAGTCAAATTAGGTCATCACTACTGCAGAAATGATTATCACAGTGCTGAGCCCATAAGTAAAAGATAAGTACTAAGTGTCTAAATTGATGGGTGAATTTTTAATGTAATACTGAAAATTGTAAGTTACTTGGTAAGTTCAAAAAATCTTGCTGACCAAAGCAAGACTATAGTTTGTTGTTTTAATCACGAAAGAGTGAACACACAATCAAGCATACTTTATTTGTTAATTTCATTAGACAATTTAAAAAGCCAATGAAATATTTCTCATGGATATGGTCGTAAAAGTACTGTCAGAGTTTGATACTCACCCTTTTTTTTATACTCATTCTTAATATACTTTTTAAAAAATTGCTGCTAAAACACCAACAAGGGAAATTAAAAAATACTATTGAAGTTTTAAACAGAATACTTAATATTCATGATCTCAAAATTCAAATAAGTAAGTGTATAATAACAGTTCATTTTTAGGTGGGACGAAAGATGAATTAGTTATGAAACCTTTAAAAGATTACTATACGTCTTTGTTAGTGATAAAGGTGAAGACTAGCTTCCATGCTGTAATGAACTTCTTGGTATTTGGACATAATTACTTGTTCTTTTTACTTATTTATTGTTTGGGCACCCCTCACATGCATCAGCATCAGGCCATGACAGACCTAACCTGTACTGTTAAACACTATACTTCCAGTGCTTACCTGGCACCAGTAGGAGCTCCAGAAATATTTGTTAAATGAATAAATAAAGAAAGCCTCCTTACATATACTATAATCCTCTTCCAAAGGAAATCTAATACATTTGAGCAAATATCTTAAATAAATGGCTCTTCCTGCTGTTTTGCTGCTTTTGAATATAAAGGACAACAGGTACTATGTGTGTGTTGGCCTTTAAAAAGTGTTCAATTTAAATACTGTCTATTTAAAATGGCCCTTGTTTTGAGGGAATACATTTTCCTGCTTTCTTGATGGACTTAACGAGAAGACACATACTTGTGTGAAAGCAGGACATGTGTGGGTGTAATGTAACCCTTTGTCCATCCCAGTAAAATTACTTTTAAACCCACTAAAACAAGCCTGCAAGAACTGCATCATAGCAAATAGATGGCTTAATCCCATCTTTCGTCTAAAAACTAGAAATGATAATAGATTTCTTTAGACCTTAATTTATTTCTATAAAATAAAGTACATATCCATCTTGGAATAACTTCTATAAAGCAAAATGTATTTTATTAAAGTTGGTTTATTCTAACAATAGTTAGGGTTGAGATACTGCTATAAAGTGCTTCAAATGTGTATGTACTAGTAGAATGCAGAAAGCTAATACATTAGAAGGATTCATATCTCTATGACCTTTTCTCCAATATTCACTAAATACACCATCCTGTACACTTTTTGTACAGGATGGTTTACAGTAGCTACAGATTTAGCTACTTCTATTTTTCAACAATCTGTTCACTGGCTCTGATTTTTAAAATGAAGTAAATATATATTTATATTTATTCTATATTCTATATTCTTGATTTCAGAGAGGAAGGAAGAGGGAGAGAGAGATAGAAATATCAATGATGAAAGAGAATCATTGATTGGCTGCCTCTTGCATGTCCCACACTGGGGATTGAGGCTGCAACCCGGGCATGTGGCCTGACCAGGAATTGAACTGTGACCTCCTGATAACCAGGTTCATAGGTCAATGCTCAATCACTGAGCCATGCTGGCCGAGCTGGCCCTGCTTTGGTGTATGGAATGATGCTTCAACCAACGAAGCCACCTGGCCAGGGCTTGGCCCTGCTTTTGAAGCCCAGGTTAGTCACACTGGCTGGCCTTGAAAGTGAAGAAAGCCATGGACCACTTGCTAATCAGTCTCTTACCTCCAGAAAGCCATTCTCAATCTTAGGTGGCTCACTGCAAGACACTGGGTGGCACGTAGGTATGGGGCTACTCCACTGTCCTGTGGCTTCGCAAGTGCTCTTCTTCTCCCCTTTGATGTAGAAGCCCCTGTTGCAGCTATAAGCCACCATGGCCCCAAAACTGTAGTTTGATCCACTCGCATAGCCATTCATGATGCTCGGTGGCTCTCCACACCGCACGGGGATGCACTGGATGGACATGGGGGAGGGGTTCCACTCCCCGCCTCTCATGCATTCAATCTTTGCTGAGGTGTTCAGTACGAAACCTTCCAGGCATTTGAAGCTCACAACGGAGCCTGCTGCAAATTTTGCTTTGCTTATAGATTCCAAGATGCTGTAGGAAGCAGATGGGGGTTTTTCACAGAAGTGAGCTATACACCGGGGCATGGCCTGACCTTCTGGGGGAACCCACTTGCCCTGGGCATTGCAGAGCAGCTGGGAATTGTCTGCCAGGCTGTAGCCATCCGCACAGTAGTAGAATGCAATGTCTCCAAATAACCGATGGGCAGTCTCTGGAGAGGCGTGGTCCACGTGGGGGGGCTCGTCACAGGAGACAGCCAGACACTGCTGGTTACTTCCACTCCACTTGCCACTGGCCAGGCATTCAATGGTGTCAGGTCCAGCGAGGGTGTAGCTATGAGATGGGGGGGAGGGGGCGGGGGGGGGCAGAAACAGTAAGGATAATATTTGAGAAAAAGTATTTGTGCCTCTTTATTTGGTTTTATATTTATTATCTTTCCTATAGCAACTCTACTTTTATTCTTTAAAATAATATTTTTTATTCAGCTGATTGATCACATGATTTTTAATTGGGATATAGAAATATATCTTGATTTTAATATTCATGCTCTTTCAGAAAGGGAAGTAGATTGAAGATTATTGCAATTTAAGGAACTCTAAAACTTGTGACACACATCTTTAAAAATAAAATGAGTAAGCTATACCCGTTTGACTCAGTTCAAAATTGGAACTTTATCTGTCTTTAGATGGTTTTCGTTGGTTGATTTTATCACTAGTCTTTGAAACAATCTCTTATGAGCCATATGTAGCCTACAAATAGCTCACAGTTACACACTTACTTATATTCAATGAACTTTAAAACAGTGATTATAATTTTAGTCTCCTTAACCATGTGGTTAGCATTGAAAGCTGTGCTCTACATATGGCTCTGCTATTCAACCAGAATGAATTATGCTTAATAACTCTCAGTCTTTTTGTACAGGATGGTTACCCATATATGACATACTTGCAAAAATCTTAAATTATTCTCAAGTGCTCTCTCAATGAAGCAGAACAAAATAGTATGGTATGCAGTATTAGAATAATTATATCTGAGTCATTCTTATTTTTATTCACACTCTCTTACTGAATGGAAAGGTAATCAGTCTATCATTTTGATATTAATAAAGGGTGAGTCCAAAATAATGGGGTACATAATTCAATCTGTTTAGACATATTAATTTCTTCATTTTATAGATGAATGAATGATTATGTAGATAGGTTAAGAAACCTGCCTAGAGTCACACAGCTACAAGCAGCAGTTAGGATTTGAAGTTAGTTTATTGGATTCCAACACTTATACCTTTTCATGACATTGTTCTGTCTCTTTTCCTCTTTTAAAATGGTTAGACAACTTGTGGGCATCCTTTGGAAACTGTATTGCCTTATTACAACTACAAATTATTTGACCCACCTTTCAGGAAAGATTTTTAAGTCATTAGTTAGCAAACATTCTCCTGAGGTCCCTTTGGGTTTTATAAGAAATTAACTACTGGAGAGAGGATGGCATTCCTTCACCCTAGCAAGCAAGGTTTATGAAATCTATGAGATCATGGGAAAATGATAGAGTATCAGCAGAGGTGTGTGCATCCCCCCCTACCTATGATCACGTATATTACTGTCTCAAAATGAACACTCTCTGACACCCCCAACAGCTGTGCTCTGCCTCCAGTTAGAGTCTGCTGCATTGTTTTGGATAAGCATCGTTCTTTGTATAAGAATCTGAGCCTAATGCATTTTTAGATGGCTTTTGTCTTAGAGGATCTAGGAGATATACAAAAACAATATGCTAAAAACATAATTTTATTTAAAAAAAAAACCATTATCCAAGGCCTGAGTGCCCAGGTTCTATTACTTCTGTGTAGGATGTGCTCTGGGTGAAAATTCCATTCGTAGAGGCTCCTGATGTTTTATAGCACAATTTACATCCCTTGCACACTTTGAACCATGCATCATTACTGCCATGGGTCCCTTGATGTTGCCAGCATATGTCATTGGCTAAAATGCACAGACATCACCTGAGACATCCCTGATTTATTAGGATCCATCATGCCATCTATAAAATGCTTCCATTAGTTAATGGGACCAGCTGTTCTGTGGCAGAAGCATCTGCCTCCAGAACCTTCCTTATTCCTCAAAGCCTCTTGAGGACACAAGAACTGTGCTTTGTAATTTGGCAGGACTCTGTCAGACCTCTGATCTCTCATCTTCTGGAAAATCTCCACCAACCATTCCTCCCTAGTGGAAAATCACAGCAAAGCTCTTCTGTAATGGAATGGAAAATTACCACTAAATACATAGATTTTGAATGAATGAATTTAAAGGATGCATTTTTGATACTACCCATGACTTCTTAGGTCTTATATTATTTCTTTTTCTGACCTACAATCTTGACTTTTCTTTATGATTCTCAGTCAACATTTAGTCATTAAACAATTTAAGGGCCAAACTATGTGCTAGAGTCACTTACATAATTTAGCAATCATGCTATGTGCTAGACTTACTTCCTTAGTGCACAGATGCAACACCAATACATTTACTGTTTACACATCTGTGCCACTCCCATCCCCCCATTCCCCATTACCTGGTGCATTGCAGGCCCCATCACACATAAAGTGGCTGCTTAAAGGAGAAGTGATTGATTCTATCCTAAGACTGAAAAGAGAAAGGCCTCACAGAGGAAAGGCTTTTGAGTGGAGTCAGAGAAGTTGAAAAGGAATCATTCAAGGCAGAAAAGTAACCTGAGCAAAGAAATGGGAGTGTGATATAGCTGGGGCATCTGAGAACTTACAAGTAGTTGGAAAAGCATAAGAACCCCCAGAAAAGTAAGTGGTGAGCACTAGAAGTGTGTATTTTGACAGATTGTGACGGTGGATGGGTGGAGATGTGGTAGGTACAGATTAACTGGAAGTGGTTTTTGACAAGAATCTTAGATTTTATCAGACAAAATGTCACTAGAAAAGAAAGCTATTTAAGTGGTTTATTAACCACACGACCTAAAGAGTATCGATGCATAGAAGCTAGGTGGGTGAAAGCCACAAAACTCTGTCCTTAGCCTAGGTGTCCACCAGTTTGTTAGCAACCCATAAATGTCGGGTGGGGAGAAAGAATTGTTTTAGGCCAGTTCAAGGTTTCTAATTCTGCAAGGCAATATTTAATGAAGAGAAGTGCGGATCTGAGATTGAGCTGGCTGACATGTCTGTCTTTGCCAACGGAATGTCTGTCTCCCAGCACTGCAAGTTTGGCACCTGAGCCAGAGTGGAGCCTCCTTTTCCAGTCATGGAGATGTGTGGAGGGGCTGGGATCCGTACTGCAGCCTCCTAATGAGCTCCAATGAATGAGCTGTAGGAGAACCTGGGGCCAAGCCGGCACTACTTGAATGGTTTGCCTTTCAGAGGAGCAGAGAAATGTATGGAGTGGCTTCAAGAGTGGAGCTAAAGCCAGTGCTCTAGATGAGATAATATCTTTGTAAAAATAATTTTTTTCAGAGAAAGAGGGAGGAAAGAAGAAAAAGAGAGAGAGAGAGAGAGAGAGAGAGAGAGAGAGAGAGAGAGAGAGAGAGAGAGAGAGAGAGAGAGAGAGAGAGAGAGAGAGAGAGAGAGAGAGAGAGAGAGAGAGAGAGAGAGAGAGATTTGTTGCTCCACTTATTTATGCATTCATTGGTTGATTCTTGTATATGCCCTAACCAGGCATGGAACCTACAACCTTGAAATAAGGACTAAAAGAAAGACACAAAATCTTGTTTAAAAAGAAGAGACTATATAACAAGAAGTATTTGAAAAATAAACAAATAGAAATTCTAAAACGTATAGAAAATAATTTCTGAAAATTAATGGACACATTCAAAAATAGATTACACATAGTAGAAAGAAACATTAGTGAACTGGAAGAAATATGTGAGGAAATTACCCAAATGCAACAAAAGCTTATAAAGAGATGGAAAATGTGATAGGTCAATAAATATGGAAAACAGAAAGAAAAGGTCCAAAGTATAATCTAATAAGACAAAAAGAGAGAAGAGAGGAAGTAAAGAAGAAGGAATATTTGATGTGAAACTGGATGAGACTATTTTAAAATTGGTGAAAGACATCCATTCTCAGATGTAAGAAGTGCAATGTGTCCTGGACAAGATGAACAAAGATAAACAAAGATAAATGCATTAGTCACATCATAGAAAAACACCAAACCAACAAAGATAAATTAAAAAAAAACAAAACAAACCTAAAGGGACAACAATTCAACAAGAGTTTCTTCATTCTCAGCGCTATTAACATCTTGGACTAGACAATTCTTTGCTGGGAGTAGGGGGCTGTCCTCTACGTAGGCTACTTGGCAGTATACCTGGACTCTATCCACTAGATG